CAATCTGAATATCAGGAAAGACTGATTTCAGGACAGAAAGCATTCGATTCCACAAAGGAAGACTTGGAAATGATAAAGGATGCAGTTTACAATGAAAGTTCACCCCAAAATGACTGTATCTCAGACCATGAAGAAAACCTCTAGCAGTTTCACAAAATACAATGCAGCTAATATTGACTTAGAAATGGTTTAACTCTTAATAATTCTTGGATCAAAAGAGAAGTCAGGGGACTTCACTGGTGGCCCAGTGGTTAACGACTCCACGCTTCCAATTCAAGAGCCGCGGGTTAGATCCCTGGTCAGGTAACTAAGATCCCACATGCTGAGTGGTGTGGCCAAAAAAAAAAAAGGAAGTAAAAAATTTTTTTTAAAGGAAGCCAAACCCCAGAACTAGGGATATCAGAAAAATAATTATGTATAATGGAAATTTATACATAATATATAGGACTATATAGTAAATAAATAGTATAATATTATAATTATCTATAATGAAATGCCTACATGTGATATAATTAAAGTAATACTCAGAAAAATTTAGCACTACTTATATGTTAATTAAAACTTGTGAAATCAAATGAATTAGGCATATAATACAAGATATGAAAAAGAATTTAAAAATAAATCCAAGAGAACAAAAGAAAAATTAACAAAAATAAAAGAAATTATAATTTTGAAAAAAATCAGAAAAGGTAGTACTCATAAATTCAAGAGCCATTTCATTGAGGGGGAAAATAACTCAATAAAATAAATATAACAGTAGATAACCTATTCAGTCCACAAAATTAGATATGAGCATAGGCAAATAACCACAGACCGATGGAACTGAAAGGATCATAAATTATTTCTTTCCTCAACTCTTTGCAAATAAACATGAGAGTAAGATAGATGAAATGGATAATTTTCTAGGAAAATATATAAATTTGCAATTGTGAGCCCCAAAAGAAATTTTAAATAGATTATCAGAGAAGAATACGAGTGCAGTGGAGTTGTCTATGAAATACAGGCATACATTTAGCAACATCCTCCAAGATAAACTGAGTGAAAAGATCAAGGTGGATACAGGCTGTGTTTTGTGGATATGCACTTAGATGCTTGGGTATTCTTGTAGCATCTCTGGAAGATACGTGAGAAACAAGTGATTGTGGTTGCTTCTATTGAAAGAAGTTGGGTCTGTGGGGAATGGGAGAGAGAGAACTTCTTTACACTACAGAGTATTACTTTGTACCTTTTACGTTTGTCATCTTTTAAACTGATTACATGTGTACATATTACCTACTCAAGAATTTTTTTTTGGAAAAGTAGAACCAAGACAAAGGAAATAAATGCTTTTAAAAGATGTTTAAAAAAAAAAAAAGATGTTTTCAAGAACACTACTTAACTTTTCCTAAAGCTGACTCTGGTAAGAGAAAGATTCTCTTGGTTGAACATGGACACGAGACTTTAGAATGGTCTTGGCCAGGCCTCCATGTCTCTCTCAGATGCTTTGGACCCCAGGTACCCTTGCAGCTCTGTGTGAATTTAAAGACCCTAATTCCTCACACATCAGGAAGAATACATTTCTGAGCAGAAGCTCTGAGTTAAAAAAAGAATACCCTCTTTTCACCTAAAGGCAGGACATCCCTGTTACTTAGTATTTAGGAACTCACAGAAGCAGAACCAAATGCTTTAAATGGCTAAAAGTCAGTTCTCTGTTTACCTATTTAATTTTTCTTAATGGTAAGATCCATGTTCCTAATTTTTCTTAGCCTCTAAGATTCTAGCTCCACTTTGCATAGTATGTCTCTCAAAAAACAGACAAAACCAAGTTCCTCAAACATCTCCAACTGACCACATGAAAGGAAAAATGACTCACATTCTGAAAGAATATGTTAAACATCTAATGTCTGTACTTACCTCTAAAATATAGTATAAAGTTCTGGGACAACACAAAACTTTTAAAAGGACTAAACTGTATCATTGTGTAAGGTTCTATCCCTTTCCACTTTCCCTCTCAAGAAAGATTGGCCAGATTGCTTTGCCTGCTGCAGAGGGACCTAGGATTCCTTGTATTTGGGGAAAGAGCCTAGGACCAGGGGCTTCTCACTACTGAGACATACTTCTAGGGTAAGATGGCAAACACCTCTGCTGTTATCTGTTCCTAGGGTTTTCTAGCTGAGCTGCTCAGATCCTGTACTGGCTTCACTCTAGCTTATATATATTTGTATTTGTAAATTTTTATTTACACATTTTTGGTTGTGCTGGGTCTTCGTTGCTGCACACAGGCTTTCTCTAGTGGTGGCCCTGCATTGGCAGGTGGTTTCTTAACCACTGGACCACCAGGGAAGTCCCTACATATATGTATTTTATGTTGTGTACATTTGACCTTTGAACAATGCAGAGGTTAGGGGCACTAATCCTCCATGCAGTCGAAAATCCACCTTTAACTTGACAGCTGGCCTTCCAAATCCAAGTATTCGACCAGTCAAGGACAGTGTGGTACTGTAATAGTTTTGAAAAAAATCCACCCATAAGTGGAACACACATTTCAAACCCATGTTTTTCAAGGGTCAACTATATATGTATATTTATTTTATGTGTGTGTTTGTTTATTGAGCTCCTTTCTGAATATTAACAATAAATTCTGCAGGAATGGGGTAGGGGTTGAAAGTCAGTGATTTAGTCCAATTTATCCATTGCACTGATGAAAAACCCCAGGCCCAGAGAAGTGATTTCATCTAATTTACTTAATCTCTTTCCTTATCTGAGGCAGGTTCTACCCTACTACTACTATTACTTCTACTGCTTCTGCGGCTATTACTGATATGATAAACACACACAAATCACCTTGTACTTAAGCTGTTTTTCTCCACATCAGTTATTCTTCAAACTTCTTCACCCATTCAGCCTACTATGATCTCACCTCAGGTCTCAGCTCAACCGCTAAACTTTCATCCATGAAATCTCCCCAGTCTGCCACATCTAAGCCAACCCATTCGCACTGCCCGTCTTCTTTCTTACAGCCATACCTCTGCTGAAGCACTCTACACTCTATGGTTATGAGCTGCTTATATATCCATTTCCTCCTTCAGCCTGAAAGCAGCTGAGAAAGATGTTCCATGTCTCATCGTGTGGCATCTCTGCCCATCAGAGTGCCTGCATACAGTAGGTGTCGATCAATCAAAAGAGTGACTGAGTGAATGGCACCTAGCCCGTTGCTTTGGCTTTGACACATTCCAGGAACATGCCTGTGGGGGAAGGCTTCCCCCACATTTCCTCAGCTTTCTTAACGGAGCTAAAGTCAAAATATTTGTGTACCTTGTTTGAGATGGCTCGGCCTAACATCTAAAGAACAGACCTGAAAGTTGGGAAAAGAATGATAGGTAATAAAGCAAAATGGCACAATGTTCAGAAGAATGTAAAATCCATGTTACAGTCTTTTGGCAAACCCTGTCTAGAGGACTGTCTATTGAGAAATTCACTCTTTCCCTTGGATCTCTAGAAAATTCACTCACAAGAGTATTCTGACTCCTCTTTTCTACCCTTGAAGCCCAGACTTCTCCTTCAGTGGTTTTAGTAGAGCAGAAGATGGGGTAAACTATTTTCACATATTTTATCAACTCTGAAATGCCATTGATTGTACATTTCACCGTTATTTTACATTATTGTTGTTATTTAGTCACTCAGTTGTGTCCAACTCTTTTGCAACCCTGTGGACTGTAGCCAGGCTGCCCTGTCCATGAGATTTCCCAGACAAGAATACTGGAGTGGGTTGCTGTTTTCTGTCTCCAAGGGGTCTTCCTGATCCAGGGATCGAACCCAAGTCTCCTGTATTTCGGGTGGATTCTTTACTGCTGAGCCACTGGGGAAGCCCTTATTTTACATACTATGAAATAAACAAAAAAATCTCTGCCAGTTAAAACATGACATGATATGATTTCAGAGATTTTAAAATATGAAAGTATCTTATAATAAATTGATGAGATGTGTATATTAACATCACAGGTTGTTTTTTGGACAATATCAAAAGCTTTATGGATCTTAGTCTCATCTGTTACATGAGTGGTTTGGAAACGACGAGCTCTGAAAACCCTTCTGGTCCCAACATCCTTGAGTTCTATGATGCCATGAAGGGATGTTCTTGACTGGGCATCATTTGTTGTGTAATAACCACCAAGGTGGGGCTTCCATCCAGATTTCTTCTGTACTTTTTGCTTTAAAAGTTGAGGGTCTTCACACTGCAGTGTCCTCCCCAGGACTGGTCCCTCCCACCCACATCATCATAAAGAGGCTTCAGAATGTCTCACCTTGATAAGAACAAATGTACCCATTAGAGGTTGAGGAATCTGGCTTACACACTGGAAGCAGGCAGTGCTTGCCAACTAAAACGCCTTCAAGAGTCACTCCTAGAGACACAAAGCTTTGACTCTAAAACTGGCTAATAGTAGAGTGATCATACATCCTGGTTTGCCCCAGACTGTCCTGGTTAACTCATTTGTCCCAGTGTTGTTATTAACAGTTCCCCCTACAGTTCAAGTATAAAGACTGATCAGGGAAGTGACTGGGGAAGAGTAGTTACCAGTGTCACTTTGGCTAATAATGGCACCAAATGGTTTGAAAATCACTAGTCTCAGGGCCATTGTTAGCATCTGGTTAGCCAGTACTAGGTGCTGATGCTTGGATATGAGCCCTGGGGTATCTCAGAATTAAAGCAAGAAATGTCAACAAGATAACTTACTCAAAAGTTAGGACAACCTTTATCCACCTTATCCTTTAATGAAAATTAAGTGCTTCCTTGATTTCTGTACTTTTTTCCACACTTGAATGATTCTGAATTTTATCATCTTGCGATCAGTAACACCTTACAATTAAGGAAATCTAATAATTTATTCTTCTTAAGATCTGACTCCCACCTCCTTTACAAATTGAAATTGAGGCTGGGAGGGTAGAACCAGTAGGGTTTTTAGGGTATAAAGATTTTATTCCAGCATTTATCACTCTTTTTTTGTGCTTCTTCCCACCAGGAGAAATTGCTTCAGTGCAAGGAACTGCCTTTGACCTGAGGAAGCCAGTGGAGCTTGGAAAACACCTGCAGGAGTTCCACGTGAATGGCTTTGACCACAATTTCTGTTTGAAGGGATCTAAAGAAAAGCGTTTCTGTGCACGGTAGGTACTTTTCATTTGCTGCCTCTGTTGGGAAGAGATCCTAACTCCTATTCAAGGAGCTTTTCCTCTGGCCCTATTAATGCCAGCTACTATGCTGTGGGGGACTATCTCCCACAACTCAAGTGTCTTTTCAAAGCTCTTATTCCACAGGTGACTTCATCCCCACCGCCACCCCCGCCACCCCGACCTATCTGCCTTTATCCCTGCCTGGTATTCTGTCTCTTTGGTTCCTCTCTCCCCATCTCTGCCCCACTCTCAGGCCTTTGCATTTTTTCCTGTTAGAAGCTCCAGTTCCTCCTCTTAAAGTCACCTCTGCTTTCCTTGAACTTCTGGAGGCCTTCGTCCTTCCCTGACTCCTCTGCTGCCTTGCATGGAAGGCTGGAGGTTACGTTTCCCGTCTAGTGCTCACCACCCCCAGCCTGTCTGCTAGGCATCTGTGTCCACACTGTCCTTCTCACTAAATTCCAAGTACCTCACATCATCTCATCTTTGTGAATCCCCCCCTCTACCTTGACACCTAACACCGTGCTTGGCACTAGCACATAATCAATACATGTTTGTAGAGTGGACAGACCTTAAATAAAGCAGAGAAAATGACTGACGCTCTAACAGAAACAGAAAGAACTTCAAAAGCCTTCCCTCCCTCACAGCCCCAGCACCAACCCCAGCTGTGTTCCTCTATCTGTGCCTCCTGTTCACATCTCTCTTCAGACGGCCTCCACCTGAGGAGACCTCTCGCCGCTCCTGCCTTCTCTTGCTGTTCAATCCCTGGCCTTTCTCTTTCTAAACATCTTTCCCTGAACCTCACTGTGGGATGTTTTACCTTGATAAGGCTATGAGAGACCTAGCCTTATGTACATCCCTTTGGTCCCAAATATAAGACCAAGTAGGTACTCTCTCCTCTGTAGAGGCTTTTCTTTTTTTTTAAAAAAAAGGGAACAGTCTAGTAGTCTATTCTGGGGGGCATAGCTGACTAAGGAGCCCCCTGCCTGCTCTAGCCCCAGGGCGGCAGGTAGTTTAACTTAGAAAAGCATCTCTTCTCTTTCAAAAGACATAATTGGTTGTCTTGTCAGACCAAGCAGAGAGCTCCAGCTCCTTATGAGAAATTATTCCAGTCTCCCCCCAGAGCCCTAAAACTGCCTCTGTCCAGCCTGGCTCCCCTCACACACACAAACGTATCTGACCAGGGTAAGTCACGTTTGCCTTCCCCAGGGAAGCCAGGCTCAGAGTGGGAGGGTGCTACTGCAGATCTTCAAAACCACCTACTTACGCCTCCTCTGAGAGGCTGCGAGAATCTCCTACCGTGCTCTTCTCATCTTTGTCTCTTCCGTATCCTGCCTGGCTGCGTGGCTGGGTCTGACTCCCGTCTCAAAGCTGCTTCCCAGCTTCCCCTGTCTGCTTTTTCACCCTGGACCTACATATACGTGGTCTGGCTTTATCTCTAGGGTCTATCATGCTGGAAGCGGGCGGGTCCTGGAAGTGTACACCACCCAACCTGGGGTCCAGTTTTACACGGGCAACTTCCTGGATGGCACGCTGAAGGGCAAGAGTGGAGCGGTCTACCCCAAGCACTCCGGATTCTGCCTTGAGACTCAGAGCTGGCCTGATGCAGTCAATCAGGTAAGTCCACAAGCCAGCTTGTTAGAGTGGTGGTATGTCCAGGGTCATACCAGATGACAGAGGTTACAACACTCAAGTCAGATCTGTATGATTCAAAAGTCTGTGTGTGTTCTCTTCTCCAAGTCAAGATAAACATAGGAAATTCTTAGCCATGTTACTAACATGGCATTCACATGTTAAAAAAAAACCTTTATTTTGTACCTTCAAAGCCTTTATTCAGTTTAACCTTTCTCCTTATCAATATTTACTCATTTTATACAACCACACTGTTAAGATGATCCTCCAAATCTTTTCATCCTTTCGCTTCCTCCTTTCTTTTCCAGCTATTGCCTAGAGTAATGCTCCTCAACATTCAAGCCCATAATAAGACACTTGCAGCCTGTACCAGGATGTAAATCAACCCCTCTTCCTTCATTAAGAAAGTCTTGCTGTGACAAAGTGTGTTTAGTGATGTGGTTGATTTTCATCCTGGTTCAAGTTCTTTATCTCATTGCAAACCAATAATAAATGGTTCTTACCCTGGTTCACATTAGAACTGGTCTAGAGACCAGTCCAGAAGCCATCCTGAATGGTTAAGGGTGAAACCTGGGTTGGCAAGGTGTAACCTGTATTGTTTTCCTCTTCACAGCCCCACTTTTCTCCTGTGTTGCTGAAGCCTGGTGAGGAGTATGACCATACCACTTGGTTCAAGTTTTCTGTGGCTTAAGAAAATGTAGATATATGACCTGCTCCAGGGCCAGGCTGGGAGCCCCTTTAGCAGCCTGACTCTCCTATGAAGAGATGAGCTAAAGATTTAGAGGCTTTCAAAGTGATTCTGTGATTTAAAATCATACAAATGGTAGCAGTCAGGGGTGGTCAAGTCTGAATATTGATTTCCTTCTCAAAGACTGGCTCCAGGCCAGGTCTAATGACCAGCTCTCCTCTCTGTGAAGTGAAAAGGGACCCAACCACCTATGTCACCCGTCATCTCAGCCTTGATCCTAGCCCAGAAGTGGCACCTGGGCTCCGTATGTTGGCTCCATCTGTCCATTCTGCCTCTTTCTTTTCTACTTTCCACCCTTTCTTTCTTTGATCCTACTCAATCCTTTTTTTTCCCCTCCTTCTCTAGCTCACATCACCTTGCCCTATGCATCCTATGGAGTTTTCAGGTCACTTAGCTCATTCAGCCTGCTGGCAGAGGGACCCTGTCTGCCTCAATAAGGCAACAAATGATGGAGACATGAGTCAACTAAGGCTTAGAGGGGATAAATGACTCACCTAAAGACACTGAACTAGGAAAACTTTTAACCAAGACTCTAAATCAGGTTATTTGCCTGAAAAACATGCAAATTCAAGTCCCCTTCTTTGTCTCCACTCCAGTCTTCAGGAGCATCCCTAGCATCAACTCATGGGCACAGAGGAGTCTAATCCTTACTGTTAACCAGCCTTTCTTCCAAAATTCACTTTTATAAAAAGAAGCGTGAGTCTGTTTGAGCTTTACAGATGATGTGATTTAAGGTGCAAGATCAAAATGTCCAGAAAGCATCTGTAAATTTGATTCTCTGCCTTCACAGTTAACTGAGAAGGCCAGTTCAGCCCAGGCATAGGAAGGGTCACTGGAAACAGGAGCTGTGTTAGTGTGAGGAGAGGACCTTGGCCGAGAGAACTGCAGATTGCACTGGAGAGCACCTGTGTTATGTAGATCAGCCTGGGCTTCCCACCTTTCCTAACTGAATCATCAGTGGTGGGTTTGGGTTGGTGGCTTTTAAAGAAATGTATCTTATACTATTATACACTGATAATCAGTTTAAATAAAATAAAAATCTGTACCTTCAAAAAACTCCCAGTTTCTTCATTCTGTCAGGCGTGAGCCTTTGGGAAATGGATCAAATATAAACCGTGTGTTCTGGATTCTACTATGCTCTCCAGTCCCAGCCCTAGCTGGGAATACAATCTACTAGCAGCCTGTGGACCTTCCTACATGCTTCCCCTTTCTCCTTGTTGTTCAGTTGCTCAGCCGAGTTTGACTCTCTGGGCCCATGGACTGTAGCACACCAGGCTACAGTATCCTCTGTAAGAGTATGGTATCCTCCACTAGCTCCTGGAGTTTGCTCAGATTCATGTCCATTGAGTCGGTGATGCTATCTAATCATCTCATCCTCTGCCACCCCTTGAAGATACTGTTTATTTTTCAGTTCACTTTGACATGAATTTTCTGAGCACTTAACAGTTCTCTCCTGGGTCTTTTAAGCAGTTCTAGAGGTGATGTCCAAGATATAGTATGTTCCTTAGGAACATCACAAATCTCTTTGGGGAAAACAAGACTAATAGTAACAACTAGATGATGTAGAATTGCACCATGACAGAGCTGGGAGCCCTGACCACTGACTTTGCTCCTGGCTTTTACTACATGGGCAAACAATCTAATTTCACTTGACCTGTTTTTTCACCTCTGAGGCAAAGGGAATAGACTGTAATTATCTGGAGATGAGTATAAGTCTGCAGGCAGAAACTAAAGCTGGCCACTAGTACAAGTAATGTGAGGTGGTGAAAACAAACCATGGTATTATTTGGTATGGAAAACACCATATATTATAGAATTATTAAACACTTGTTGGAAATATAAATATCTACTCAAATGCAACCCCCACCAAGAGTAAGTCTCCAGGTCCCCAGAAGTCCATGCCTTCTTTACCATACACCCCCCTACCCACGACCAAACTAGTACTGTATTATTCTGAGCTCTGATCTTTCATAGGTGAGCATATTATTGATTTCAGTTCAATGATCTATGGATTCCTTTGTTTCAAATTCATGACACAAGTTCTTATCACTGACTGAGATTTTCATTTTTCCAGTTCCCACCCATTTTGCCTAACAAGGTAAGATTTAACATTAAATAATTTGCACAATCATTGCTATAAAGTCTAAGATGCATGCTATGGATGTTGAACTGTTGTGACTGTTAGGTGACCAATGACAAGTTCAATCTCCGAAGACTAAAGGAAACTAGCTAGCATCAATGAATAAATGGGTCATTTGCAAAAAGTAGAACATGAGAAACTACCAGCAGAAAACAGAAAGCACAGCATATACCCTGTTCCCTAGCCAGTTCCCATCACCAGTTATAACTGATAACTGTTTAAAATAAAACAGTGGAATCAGAAGTTTGCAATGGGCTTTTTCTTTTTTTAAGTATTTGGCTGCTCCAGGTCTTAGCTGCATGCAGCATGTGGGATCTTTGATCTTTGTTGGGGCATGTGAACTCCTAGTTGTGGCATGTGAGATCTAGTGCCCTGGGCTATTTGGAGAGTTTGGACAGGACTGCAATCCTTTTCCAATCAAGGAATTTTTATCTTCTCCTTTTAAGTTCCAGCTTCTCAAATTCAATTACTCAAATCATAATGAAAGTCTCAGATGATCTGGGTAGCACTGCCAGCTATGGTTAAGTGAGGTCAGCAAACTCTCTTCTTAAAAAAGCAACTATAATGTAGAAAAAAAACTGAGACAAAACAAGTTTGTCACTCTGGCAACTAACCCAAAACATACAAGACATGTTTGTTTGAAAAACTGCTGAACTTTGAGTAGAAACTGTAAGATTGTGGCATCCTTGCCTGGGGCTGCTCCCATTCTCTTTACTTCCCCAGCTCACTTGCAGTGGAGCTTCTGCCAGGGCGAAACAGAGCATGAAGACCAGGAGACTGCTACTACTATGGTTTCAGGGATGGGAGGGTTCTCTCAGTTTGGAGTGGCAGGTGATATCCATACCCAACTGCTTTGTTAATAAAAATAATGATCTTGGTGCTCTATAAGCAGGGAGGCTAATGGCTCTACTAGCCTGAGGTTGCAACTGTGGTTGGAACAAGCACACCTCTGGGTGATCAGAGGCTACACATGCACAGCAAAGACCAGAGGGGGTCAAGCTATTCACACTCACACTCCTGGCCAACTCTGATGCGGCAGGCACATGCAAAGGAAATTAAAAGGACTTAGCAAAAACGAAAACAGATTTGAAAAAATGTCTAAACACTGAATCCACTCCCTACCTTCACAAAGATCCATCAGCAGAGGACAATTGGTGTTGAAATGTGTGAGCACTACTACCCAGTTGCTGACCACTGAGCCAGCTATGCAGACACAGGGCAACCCCTACAAAGCTGAGCTTAAAAATAAACACAAGAATGTTCTTTTAGAAATAGCCAAAATACTGAATAGAGATTACAAAAAAAGAACCAAGCAAAATTCTGAGGTTGAAAGGTACAATAACAAATAACAGTTCCAACTACAGAGGCTCAGAAGCAGATTAAAGATGGCAGGGGAAAAAAATAAATGAACCTGAAGACAGAAAAATTTGAAAGCAAGAGGAAAAAAGTCTCGTCGCTATAGGAGACCACCAATACAATTAACATCTGACTTTTTGCTTGCAGCAGAGGGCAGGAGGCAGTAAAGGGCACAATCAATGTGCTTAAACTCCCAAATTACCCTTCAAATACAAAAGTGGGACAAAAACATTTCCAGATAAAGAATCAGAAAACTCACTGCTAGCAGAACTACTTACAAGAAATACTAGAGGAAGTCTTCCTTTAATGCTGCAAGGGAATTAAGACAATAACTCAAAGCCATGGAAAGAAATGAAAAATAGAAGAAACAGTAAATTTTCTCATCTTTTCTTTAAAAGACAGAAGGTTGTATGAGGCAATAATTAAACACCATGTTACTGAGTTTGTAACACGTAATGTAGCACAGGGAGAGAAGTTTGGGAAAAGAAAATATACTGGAGCAAAATTTTGGGGTTTTACCAGACTATTAATCTGAAGGAGATTGTGATCAATTAAGATCCAGCTGTATAGTCAAAGCTATGGTTTTTCCAGTAGTCATGTATGGATGTGAGAGTTGGACCATAAAGAAAGCTGAGTGCTGAAGAATTGATGCTTTTGAACTGTGGTGTTGGAGAAGACTCTTGAGAGTCCCTTGGACTGCAAGGAGATCCAACCAGTCAATCCTAAAGGAAGTCAGTCCTGAATATTCCTTGGAAGGACTGATGCTAAAGTGGAAACTCCAATACTTTGGCCACCTGATTCGAAGAACTGACTCACTGGAAAAGACCCTGATGCTAGGAAAGATTGAAGGCAGGAGAAGGGAACAACAGAGGATGAGATGGTTGGATGGCATCACTAATTTGATGGACCTGAGTTTGAGCAAGATCTGGGAGATGGTAAAGGACAGGGAAGCCTGGTGTGCTGCAGTTCATGGGGTCACAAAGAGTCGGACACAACTTTGTGACTGAACAGTAACAAGATACAACCACTCAGGAGATAACTAAAAAATAGTTTTAAAAAATCAAGAGGAATTTGAATAGTACACTAAAATAACATTTAATACAAAATGGTAAAAAGACAGGAGACATACAGAAAACAACAAACCCCAAACGTAAACCCAACCATACCAGTAATTCTATCTGTAGATGGCTTAAACAAACCAAAAGGCAGTTTGTTAAGACTGAATTAAAAGTCAAGATCTAGCGACTAACTACAGTTGACCTTTGAAGTAGCCCACCACCGTGACCACCAAGTCAAAAACCCACATGTAACTACAGTCATCTGCATCTGCGGTTCTACACCTGCAAATCATGTAGGTATATAGAATCTACTGAAAACATATCCGTGTGTAAGTGGGCTGTGTTGGTCAAGTGCTAGTCACTCAGTCATGTCTGACTCTTTGTGACTC